CATATTTTGAGTACAAAATGGAATTGTTTCAAACACCTTATACTTAAGTGCATGTACATGTATGTTACATTTAGTATACAATGGCTTTTTTATGTAACACAATCTACAACTGTGTACTACATACATGCAGGAGTATTTAACATAGAGTTCAGTTAAACAAGCACCTTATCAATTAAACCAACAGCTGAATGTGGCTCAGACAGTGCGACCGGGAGAGCCATTAGAGATTTTTTAACCCACCATTTCTGGTTTTCAAGGTCATTTTTACAGTTTTAAGACTGTCTGTCCCTTGCCCAGTGAGCACATTTAAAAGTAGAGTGTAGACTATTAATTTCATGCAGATTTGAGGTCAGAAGATGCCAGTATTTTCAATTTAGGTGCTAGCTCAGTGCTAGTTATTGTACATGTACATATACCTGTAGATGTACATGTACATGTACCTGAGTCCTGAGGCATAACCCGCTAAACCCAGATATTTAAGTTGAAAGCTGAATCATCAACACACACACTATAAACTGGCTGTACTGTAATGTTTGTATTTCCCTTCCTACTACCCTAGGTACATGTAACTACTGTATACATGTAGATAGTGGTATATCAATTTTCTCTAAGTGCTTCTCTAAAATTTTAGCAGAACTGCTCTGAATTTTCTTGTCAGTGTATACTGTGTGGTATATCATAGTCACAGCTGTACAACCCTGAGCATTCCCTTTCATTTATGAATATTGTGTGTCTTACTAGGAATAGCCTTTATGAATACACTGGGTATGAATGAATATTATTATAGGGCCACCACTAAATATGGATATCCCTCACAACCGCAGTACATGACATTCACTTAGCTTGTGTCTTATGTATAATAGTCAAATATACCAGTACAGCATATGTTAAGCCTTGAGTCACAGTATGTAGTAATTATTGATTATTGTGACTGTTGTTATAAAGCAACTTCCACTTGTGTGTTTGTGTGTTATTTATGATGTTTCCTCTATAATCCTATCTATCAAAGCATTTGCAGATCATAATTATTATTATAGAGAAAGCAGAAGGGCAATGTGATTGTATGCCTTGAATATTATGATTTGTCATTATTATGCATGTACATGTAAATATAAGTACACGAATAATAGTATTAGCTTCTTGTCTGTGTATTACTGGTACCATTTAACATTGCATGTACATGTATATGTATAATTAGTGATAGACGTAGAACTTGCTGATTGTCTGAATGGCCTTCAAAAGTGCTTAATCTTACACGCATTATGCTTGTTATGTTTGTTTTGTTTTAATGTCATACGTTTTTGTAGGTACAGCACATTGTAAATGTAATTCTGATTCAGTTTCTTTAGTTTAATGTATTATTGATAATTTAAAGATTGCCTTCAAAGCGTTTTTTGATCACAATTTCTTATAAAATAGCTCATGTTACATTTACACGCACAAGTTCTTTGAATTATAAGAAAATAACCCAAGTTACATGTACTGTACATGTATTTGTCACAAATTGTTTTTGCAAGAAATCATTGTATTATCTTCTCTAGAATAAATGTTTTCTTAGTAACTGTATTTGCCCCCACTTGTTAATCTAGCTGTATCTTTCCTTTTTATTTGCGTTTCATAGTAAGGATATCACTATGAATACACAAGTATGAATACTGCTATGTTAAAAGGTAGGGATATTCTCCTAGGATATTCCCTATGAAACAGTTATAACTACCTGCCATTCTTAAATGTGTGTTAATACTGTACTTTGTATAATGTACATGTAGGAGTGTCTTCCTATAGATTAGTCAGCATATTATTCTAAGCCAAACAGTCAGCATGTTTATACTATTAACTGTGGTTGATTTGTCTGTGTGCCAATGTACATTATTTGTACTTGTATAAATGCTTAAGATAAAAGCTCACGTAACTCTCATTCCTGCCCTTGTTCATTATAAGTCATGTGTAATGCACCTAATGTATCTTATGGCTTCAAACTTTGGTAGTCTAGTATTTTAGTGATTTTGTAATTTTAATTAATCATATAGCTTGATGTGTATTGGTAAGACTTAGATATTTGGTGACGTGCTAAATTTTTTGCAACTGACAAATTTTACTGTTGGTGATTTATAAACCATGCCACTTATTAAGCATGCTCAGAATAAATAAACACAACAGACTTTGTATTTGTGGTTGCTTAGTACACCGCCAATCTGCCAATGTTAATTCTCTGTTAATATTTCTAACTGTACAGTACTTGTAATTATCATAATTATTGTGCAAAAAAGTTTATTCAATTTTATCCACTATTTTTGTGTAATATCTACCTTTGTTTTTTACTTAGATACCATTACTTAGCTGACATGATCAGTACTGTTCGCAAGTTGTGTGAAGTGTGAATGTACAAGTTAAGTGAATGCTTTATTTGACATCAAAAAATAAAATAATTTAACACCACACTATTGTTTAAATTTATTTTCTCTATTATTATTATGAAAATCTTGATTATTAGAACATTAATGAATAAAAAAATCGTGTGGGACACGCCCACTATCTTGATGAATATATCGAATGATTTTGGTCGATTGAAAGCTCTTTCTCGCTCATTCTTTCTCAGTTCTCAATTGTACTTGGCTGAGCCAGCATTGTGTAAATAGAGACTGGGCCATAGTATATCAATGACTGAGCGCCCACTTTCGGGCTGTATAATCGGTTGCTCCTATTATAAGGCGAAAGCATTTGTGGCGAAAGTGAGTTGGATTTTATTAATAATTAAATCTACATGTATAATGGACTAATTCTTTTACAATAGGAATAGAGTCATGGCTAGTTTAAATATTTGTGTATCTTGTAAACGTTCACTCAATCCTCCTAATGCCAGTTTTTGTTCACAGTGTGGATCACCACAGTCTTTATGGAAATCGTGTATGCATTGTAAAGCACAACTTCCTCCTAATGCTCTTTATTGCATCAATTGTGGTTTGTTCCAAACACACCCACAAAATCCAGATTCTTCTACGAAATTGTGTATACACTGTAAAGTTCAATTACCTCCTAACACTACTGTTTGCAAGGAATGTGGCAAAATTCAGAAAGTGCCGTGCATACTTTGTAAGCGTCCATTATGGGTAAATGCTCAGAATTGTTCAATTTGCTCAGCTGCACAAGATCCAGCAGAATTTAAGAAGCAATCTTTCAAACAGTGCAACAAGTGTGGAGTTCAGTTGTTATTAGATGCACAGATTTGTCATTGCACAAGTTGCTATGCTCATCAAAATATTCCTAGTGACACCACTCTTCCTGCCCCTAATGTTACAATAAATCTTGGTGTTGAAGAATTAATGGAAGATAAAGTTGATCCTTCTGATGATCATAAATCTATTCCAGAGCTGCAACGGCAAAGTAACCAACCGAAACAAGAGCAATGTGAATCTCAGCAAGATGATTCAATGGATACTAGCATCATTCCAGGAAAGAAAATAGTTGGCCCTCTAAAACGTTCTGCGCATGGTGACGATGGAAATGAATCTGATGACAAGAACAAGAAATTGAAAACATCTGATGCAGCAGCTGCCACTTGTGGAGCTGTTGTACAGCAAAAAGTTAGCACATATGGTATTGTAGGAGAAAGTGATCATCAGTCAACAATCACTGATACTCGAAAAAGGAAACAGGCTGATCATAATGACTCACAAGGTTCTCAGTTTTCCCCTCCTCTTGCTAAGAAAGTTGAAGATGGCTCACATGTTACTCGGACACAAGTAGATAGAGATCCAAAAGAGATTGACGTTGAAGAAAAAAGCTTTCAGACTATAATATATGTGCAAGCTGATCCAAACAAAGAGAAATGCAATAATGAAATGACAAGAGAAAAGAATGAACATGGACAAGAGAATCCATTAGCAAAAATGTCATTGTCCGACAAGCAAGAAATTACCAATCAAACAGATTCATCAGGAAACACTGATTTAATGGGAACTCCTTCAACACCTAATAGATCCTCACTGCCAACCCTAGTTACTACTCCTATTGTCTCCTCCGTTGATTCTGTTTCTTCATCCACTTCTGCTACTCTGCCTCCTAATTTGTCTCTTCCTCTTACTTCATCTCCATCTACTGATACTTCCGTTACTTCAATTCTTGCATCTGTTACTTCACTTTCAGAGTCTGATAATGGTACTTCTCAATCATCTCCTACATTTGTAACTTCATCTTTAACTATTACTACTCCAGCTTTATCTTCTGCTCCTGTTACTTCATCTTCTGTTACAGCTATTAATCCATCTCCTGTACCTGCCAATTCGTCTCCTACTTCTGCTACTCCATCTACTAATTCGTCTCCTACTACCATTACTTTGTCTGTTGCTTCATCTAATTCAGCTCTTGTTCTTGTTTCCACTTCATCTCCTAACCCTGTTACTTCAACTTCTGCTGATGCAACTCCATCCCCTAATCCATCTTCTGATGCTAGTTCTACTTCAAGTCCTCCTATAGCAAGTCATAATGGTAAAGGTTCTTTGGAATCTGGTGATGTACTAAATGATAAGACAGATCTAGTTCTTAGTGATAGACCAATTGAGCCTGTTGTTGATCCTCATCAACCCAAAGCTAAAGCTAGCAAAGGTGAAAATGAAGGGGAAAGGGATAAAGGAAGTAAAGTAGATAAACAAACAGATCAATCTGAAAAGAAACCAAAAGATTCTAAGAGTAAGCAGAAAGAGCCAAGCCATCCAGTTCCTAACCCGTGAGTATTATACCATAAACTGGTTTATTTTTGCAGTGGAAAATTTTTGCGAATCTTGCATTTTAAAAATTTTGCGGGATTAATTTTCACCAGTTGCTTGCAGACTGCACCACGTGGCAATAGAGAGCAAAATTTTGCGGTGAAAAATTTTTGCAAATGATCACAAACCGCAAAATTTGTGAAAATATTTTACCACTAAAATAAACCGGTATACCATATTTGATATACATTTTGTTTAACTGTAGACCCAAGACTGCCCTTTGTGTGTTGAATCCACCTAAAGAAAAATCAATGAAAATAATATTTTGTGCTGTAATTCACCTGAACAGTTGGCATTATGAGCAAGGAAAGTCTTCAATTTATTTAAGATTTGGTCACAGAGAATTAGGGGATTGGAAAATTGACATTGGTCCTTGTGATTTAGTAAGGTTTGTTAAAATTAATTATGAAATACAGTACACTATTGTACATGTATGCTTATGTACTTTTCTACCACTGTACATGTATCATAGCTTTGACGTATAACTGAAAGATTACTTTGTCTCGCCCGCTTCTTCATTACCTGCTGAAGGGTGAGGCGAGACTAATTACTTTAATGCCAATTATATCCTCACCCTTATTCACAGTATTAGGATACTTGCCTAATATGCATACATTTAAGGCTGGTTTACATAAAATTGGATTGCTATTTGTTTACTTGTGTTGCAACCGGAAGAAACAAAGGGGATGTGCATCAAAGCATCAGAATAGGCTTATATTTTATCTTGACATATTGACACATCCTGCCATTTTTTATACAGCACTTAAAAATTGCAATGCAAGATTATGCATCATTATGTAAACCAGGCTTTGTGTGGATGAGTCCAATAATGACCTAATTTGGTTTTAAAAATTTAATTTGCAATGCACTGGTATAGACAATTATCAAATTTTGCTACTTGTACTGTAGTGAAGAAAATTTTTCAGCTTGTGCGCTAATTTTAGTTGATGAAAAAGTATGGCTAAAAATTACAAATTTGAAGCATTGAATTAATATCTCAGTTTATGTATAGTTATGATAAGCTGTATATC